AAATTTATAATGAAGTTTGATCGCAATCGGGTTTTTATTCAGTCGAGAGAAAAAAAATTGCAATTAAAAATTTCTTATGGGATCATAAAATTATTTTGAGTCTCCCGATTTATTTTGGGTACTTACTAGCTTAAGTCTGACTTACTATGTTGGGGTTGTTCACACATTACGTCCGAAAACAATTTATTATATTTTTTTTTCAAAAATTAAGATTACAATTTATTCACTTATCAACCCCCCCCCCCCCCCCCCTCTATCTAATTAACATAATTTTTAAATAGCCCCATACTCAGGAAGTAACTATCACAACTCACTTTGTAGCACTCATTCTAACACATTTTCGACTCAAATCAATTAAATAAAAATTCTCTAGGATTTTATAGCGGCTCAAATTTTACCACAGACATGAGATATTTGAGGAATAGAAATGTGAATGACCTTTCGGGGCTGAATGAAGAAATGCTTTTTTTTGGGAATTCCATACAATGTGTTGGGTTTGGAATGAATTTAGAACAGGCATTGGAAGGTGTTTGAACAGTTATTTTAAAGTAACTGCCAGGTAAGAGACAATCTGTTTCGAATTACGGCAATATTTGATGAAACAGAAAATGTGCCAATTTGATTAATGCAGTGTGCAAGTCTGTCTTTCTAAAGATTCCTTTAAAATTTGTTTGCCCATCAAGTTGCTTTCCCCTTAAACCTAATCCAAAACTTCACTCATTCATCGAAACTTCAATTTCATAACAAAAGAAAAAAAACATTTTCGAAGCTCTTTTTCTTGCTTCCAAAAATCTTATTGTAACAGGAATTTTCTACAGGCTAATTATGCAAACAGATCATGAGACCGTGGGACTTTCAATAATTGAGTAAGAAATTCTTATTGGAAATTTACCATCAATGTTTTGGATTTCTAGGAAGAATCTTTCTCTAATTCACACGTGATAATTTTTTTCTCAGCACTGCTCACATGTTCCATAAGCTATGCTTGATCTTATTACTCATTAAATTCTAAAAATCCAAAATCTTATTAGGATAACCACAATGTTGTACGAACGAGAACATCTTAATTAATAAAAGAATTTAACTGTTATAATTAGCATGGTTGCTTCACAGATGAGCAAAGGAATTCCATCAACATTCACAAAAGAATCGCCGCTGTGGAGATATTAAAATTATTTTCTTCGGAAATGTTTCGATTACGCAATATTTTGAAGGTAACAAGAAGGTGCCATGTGTGAACTTTTTGGATATCAAGTTACTCAGTTGATTCTTATTAGACTGACTTCTATTTAAATAAATTTCTTATAGAGCTTACTTGTTCCAATAAGAAAATGTGGCATTTAAATTTCTTGGAATCTAATGAGATCAAATTTCTAATCAGTCAATAGACTTGACTAAATGTTCGAATAAGGCAGTGATGGCTAAGTTTTTGTGTCATGGTAAACCAAAAAATCGGAGCCAAGGAGTGTGGAACTAATAATCTGAGATATTAGCTGTTTTAAAAATAAGAACCCGAGATTGAAGGGGTGTGAAACTAAGAAAACTTGAGATTAAAAGGGTATAAAACTAAGAATGTGTGGTTCAAAGGGTGTAAAACTACGAACTTGAGATTCAAGGGGTGTGAAACTACGAACTTGAGATTCAAGGGGTGTGAAACTACGTACTTGAGATTCAAGGGGTGTGAAACTACGAACTTGAGGTTCAAGGAGTGTGAAATTATGAAAATCTGAGATTATAGAAGTACTTACTTATAGAGGAACTTAAAATGTGAGATTCAAGAGGTGTGGAACTACGAAAATCTGAGATTCAAAGAGTATGGAGAGGGGTTCGTATTTATAAAATTGTACTAAAGCAAACTATAACAACTCAAGCATGAACAAGAACTTGTTGCTTCTAATACCAGATATTAATATCCTAAATTCTAGTCTGACTATTATGGTAAAGTCAACATTCAACAAGTATCAATTAGATAGCATTAGATCATCTCCCACATTGATGGACATTTCTATATATGAAATTTTTCTCATTTCAAAACTACAAATAAGACTCTCCGTAAAATATTTATTTCTCATATAGTTTTGTTACCTAACACGAAGAATTTTTTTTTTTTTTCATTTTTTTTCGAATATGCCATGACAATGTGGGCTGTGGAAAGAGATTTGTGGATGGATCAAAGTTGTAACAATAAGAATAAAATCCCATAAAAGCGTCACATACAAAAACAACATAATGATTTTGATGATCTCGGAAACCATAGCGAAGAAGGCAAAAAAGGCATCACAGTAAGATTTCTCTTCCACCGAGCCCTATCTATTTCTTGTGTATATACACATAACTTTTCGGACGGCAATGATCTTTTTTTATTGTAGCTTTCTCACAGGCATCATCTCAGGTTTTTTTTTTTGGGTGAGTTCATCGCCCTTTCCTAGTACTTTTTGGATGCTTTTTCTCGTTCTCTTATCCTCAAACCAATTTCTATTTTTTCTACATTTTTTTTCTATTTTAAAAAACTCCGTTTTTTTCTTTCTTTTTTTCTCATATTTATAACAATAGTGTTGTTACTTTTTGCTTTGGCTTTAGCTTTGGCTCTATACTAACACAACGTTTCTGTTCCTCTTCAGATGCTTTCCTCAATTCGTGGAGCGTAATGTGATTGACCCTTTCTATCTATGGACTCTTTTCTCCTCTCTTTTTTTATTATTTTTATTACATCCATGAGAATGTGAAGCATAGAAAAATAATGTTTAAAGTCCTCGTAGTGGTGGTGGTCGGTGGGTCTTGTGCGCATTTTTGTTGTTATTGAAGCAACAAGTACTGAGTATTGAGTTATGAATTCTATCAAAGTGGAAATATGAAAAAAATCAAGACTATGTTTACGGGCTTTATTACTTAACTTTAGGAATTTTTACGGAACACCCCCCCCCCCCTCCCCTTCCCTCGAATTTTGAATTTTTAAAAACCGTTAAAATATGAAAAAACTTTTTTAATACAAATTGTTTTAGAAACACCCACCTGATTGGAGGCGATCGTGCTGAATTATTGTTTTCTAAAGGATTTTTCAATAATTTTCAATTTTGCTGTTTCTTAAAAATTCAAAATTTTGAACGGTTTTTCAAAGTTCAAATTTTGAACGGTTTTTCAAAAATTCAAATTTTTAACGATTTTCAAAAAATCAAAATTTTATGGCGCTTCAAAATTTAAAGGTTTTTGAACATTCAAAATTTAAAGGATTTTGAACATTCAAAATTTTTCTGTATTTAAAAAATAAAACAAATTTTTGGCAATCGGAAAGGGAGATTTTATAATGCTTCAAACCAAACGACCACCCTACATTGACCTGATCCACCAGAACAAAGTGAAATTCTAAACTTTTTCTAAAAATTGCCCTAAAAGCAAACTTAAAATTAACATTAATGCGATAGCCACACATTCATAGTTTTTTTCTGTATATTTTGTTTGTTATAAAACCTCACATTGTGATAAAGGAAGAATAGTAAAGAGAAATTACTCTATGTAGCAAGTAATTTATTCGTCAAAAAAAAAAAAAAATAAAGTAAAATTATGCATTGCACTTCATTGTCAATTACATATTCGACATGATTCAATTTTAATTAATGCCTTTGTTCTTTCTCTCTATTTTACAATAGTCAAGTATTTAAGTAACGGCATCAATTGATGTTTGGTCTCTTCTTTTTCTCATCTTCTCTTGTTGCTATTTTATTTGAGATCGGAAGTACTATAGTGGAAAGAAAAATGTTTCTTCGTGTTGGTATTTTATATTATTACTTCTTATTTCCATTTCTTTTGATCGGAACATTTCATTCATTGAAAGACTCGATGAAATGTGGCCAATGTGAAATTAGATGGAATATAAGAAAGAAAAATGAAAGATTAAATTAAATCTATTTTTTTTATGAAAAGGAGGAATGGGAAAAGAAATAAAAAAGATTTAAATACAATTTATCTTGGAAAAAAAGAACAAAAAAAATATTGAAAAGACTATTAAAGCCTTTTTTACATTAATCGAAAGGCAATTTACATATTTTTTCATGATAATTTTCTCTTAATGATTTAACATGAAACGTGAGGAAGAGGAGGCGATGACCGGAGCTTCTATGGTCTTTTTGATTTATCCTGGGAATGTTGAATTGGGTTTTTTTTAAAAAAAATATACATTTTGAAATTTCAACTGATAATTCTAATTTAAATTTTTGCGTCTTTTCCTGCATCTCAAGAAAATGTCAAAATTTAAAATTAAAATGACAGTTTTTGCTTTTGGATCTCAAAAATCAGAAGAATTCAAATTTGAAATGACAATTAATTTGGAAATTATTTTAGAATCTTAAATATCAACGGAAATCAGGAATTCAAAATTTTGCATCTTTTCTAAAGCTCTTTTGAATCTTAAAACCATAATTTTTCAAATTTTTCGCATCTTCTCAAAACCTTTTTGCATCTAAAAATCCAACAAGTTTCAAAACATTAACGACAGTTTAGCCAGAATCATTATGCAATTCATAAATGTCCAATTAATGCTTCTTCTTAGAACGAATTATAAATTTCTTATAAGGAAAACTTGATGTCACGTTATTTTGATGCTTACAGCTTTACTCAAAATAATATTGTTTCAGTTCTCGGCTATTCCTTTACGCCGAAATTATCGTACAATTAAGTGAAAAATAGTTATTGTGGCATAAGTCAAAAGGTAAAGAAATTTTCATTTTCATGTGAGTGGCACCAAATATTAAAACTGTTTATTTTTCATTTTAACTCGATGTCGAGCTATTGCCCGGATTTTTGTGCTTCGCAAGTACATAATAATACAACGGATCTTACAAAAACGGTAATTTTCTTTTTTTGACTTTATTACACTTTATTTTTTTTTGTGCTGTCTTGTGGATTTCATAAAAAAAGTGTTGGACTTAACAAAAAATTGGATCGGATATAAAAGAGAAGTATGGAATAAAAAGTAGTGTACATTCTATGTTAAAATTGATTCTTTACGTCAGCCGTTCCAAGCAGCTTACTGGCGATCCAGTTTTACAGCAATATTCTCTTCCCGCTGACAAATTACTGTTGATCCACGATTTTGCATCACAATTTTTAACAAACAAGTAGGCTCTCTCACGATGACAATCACGATCAATTGTTCCGCAAATTATGGCTGGCGAGTTTGGCAAATGCTTTACAATTGTCTCTAAACATTTATTGACGCACATTTTCGTTCCTGTTGATGTACATGGAAAATGAATGTCTGTCTCTTGTACTAATGCTGGATATCCGCTAGGTTGATCATTAGAACCTTTCTTGAATTGTCCACTCATAAATACAGCACATGTGCATGCCTCACCGGTCTCTAAAAGTCCAGGCAACAGCGATGCTGACGTTGTGATCGAGAACTTTTGTTTCAAATCATTTAATTGTAATTGACCCTCAGCAATGGATGCGATTAAAATAATTGTGAAAATACGTCTGTACACTGCGGGTGAAAATAGAAAATAGTAATATTCAGTTATCATCACCATGAGATGAAGATTAATTAAACTTACTTACTCTTTTTTTTTTTGTTCTAATTTTATTTTTTTGTATTCACTGTTGGACGATTAAGCAAGTAACTAATTTGTTCTTTCACATTAATTGGTGTTTTATATGCAGTATATGTGGAAGTCCAAAAAAGAAGGAAATGCTAATTTTCTGGGTGTTGTTTAAAGTGATGAAACAAAACATCCAAAAATGTGCTGCTGCTTATTTATTTAGCAAACGATGCAATATTATTATTGTCTTTTTTTACAGAAAAAAAAGATTTCCGGATAAATGAGCTGTGCATGTGACTTGATGTTGACTCTTTTTTTCAAAATTTTTATTTTTTGGGTGACATGTGGCGGGTTATTTATTTTATTTTGCAGCATGAGGTATCAGAAATTGGAGGATTTTTGCTATATGATGCATGTTATGGGTCATTTAATCATGTTGTTCCATCATTTAGGGGTAGGGGGTCTAAAATTTAATATTTGGTAACACAAAAAGTTTGACGAAAGAATTTAAATACTTTTCTTAAAAAGTTTATAAAGAAGAATCTGGTTAATTACTTTTAAATCTCCTCAAAAACTGCAAAAACATCTAAAACCTAATTTCAATTTCAACGGACAAAAATTATTCATAAATGGAACTTGGGCGATTCTCCAGATAAAATTTTTCAAAAAACCACCACTAAAATGAATTTTTTATAATTTTTTTCCATTAGAGAGCCTCGAAAGACAAATTAATATTGTACAACTTTTTAAACTCTACAAATCTGTATAATTAAATGCTTTCAATATACTCTAATTAAGGAAATATTTCGATTCTTCGGACGATTTCTCGAAGACAAAATATGGAATTTGGATTTTTATAATCAAAAATTAAGTATTAAAAACTATTCTTTGACATATGATATAAATACCAATCGATAGAAAACGAACTACTTTATCATATATGACAACAATTTTATTAAGCTTGATACAAATTTCACAAGAAAATTCAATTCTTTTGATGAAAATTTTGTCTTCGAGTAATTTTTAAAGCGCTTGAAACTAATTTGTGAGATTCAAATTTTTCAAATACGTTATAAATTTAAATGGAATATTTTTAAAAGAAACGATGATTGAGTGCAATATTAATTATTAATTACCTTTTGTTTAATTAAAACATATAAAAAAAATGATTTTTATAAATTAAAACAAAATTTTTATTTTGTTAACAAGTCTTTGTTTACATTTTTCCCAACGTATTTCAAAAATTTAAAAATTTCAAGTAGCAGTGGAATTACAGTTCTGTTTTTAAAAATTCAACCTATCTGGAGAATCGCCCACTTAAATTCTAAATTCATTGAAAATGAGTTTTTCGAATTTTTGAATGCCGTTGAATTTTTTTGAATTAAAACCTTTTTTTAAACCTTTTTATATCATTAACAACCTTTTATTGTCGTAAAATAAGTTCAAATCCTGCAATTTACATCAAATGATCTGAAACAAGATTAATCTTAATTGAAAAACTATAAAACCTCAGAATTTTACCATTTTACCTAAAATCTCTTAAATTAGTACCAAAACATTTGTGAATTCCTTAATTGGAACCAAAAAATGTCTCACAGACATAATTCAACCAAAAAAAGAGCGGAAGCATAAAAAAAATTGGCATATAAAGTCCATTAATCGTCCTAAAAGATTAACTTACATCAAATCTGATTCTAGATTTTTTAAAATTCAATTAAAGCTCCTCAAAAGTTCAACAACCTCTCTCGACAGCATTTTTTAACACCTTATAAAAAATCTAGGAATAAGAATAAGAATTTCTTTAGAAAAATATTTCTTTATTATTCATTTTTTTGTGTCTATTAAATAGAGATGCACGGCGATGCATTGAAATCTTGAACATAATGGATGAAAGAAATGGCTTATAATTGAGTTAATTGGAGATGAGGATAAAAAAAAGGAAAAAATTCAACTAAAAAAAATCGTCGTCGTTCACAAAAAAAATCAAGTCTTAAGTTGCCTTTAAACTCAAATACATTTTTCCTTGAATTCTTTGACGAGATGGATTAATTTTCTTCAAGATCTGCGTCATCATTTCGACTAATTCATCACTTGACACGCCTGTCTTTTTGCTTTGAATCTTCTTAAGTAACTCGGTCGTTGTCATTGGCTTTCTCATAAGGTAGCGACGAACAGCTTCTTCTGTATTACTGAAGCTATCTTTTGAGCTTGAGAAGTTATTAAATGACAATGGTGTAATGGATATTGGTTCTGACTTTAATTTCTTCGCTGGTGTTGATTGTGGACTGTTGCTGTTATCGGAACTAGTAATATCAATTTTCCGTTTAATTCCACTATCAACTGGAGTTCCAGCACGTGAATTGTGACCACTTTTCTCATTTTTCGTAGTATTTTTCTTCTTCTTACTGTTGTTGTTGGTAACTTTCTTCATTGGATCTGCCTCAGAATCTTCAGAATCAGAACTAAAGTCACTAGCATTGCCAGTTCCAGGCTTTTGATTAATCGCATCATAAAACTTTTGCATTTTACTCTTTTTGTCATCCTTTTTCTTTTCTTTTGTCGGTGCTGCCTTCACTTCATTCTCTTTCGATTCTTTGGCATCGTCAGCTTTCTTACTCTTTTCATCCTCTGATTCCTCGTCATTCTTTTCTGATTTCTCTTCGTCTGAATCTTCATCGGATGTTAATAATTTCTGTAATGCTGGCTCTTCGGCTACTGATTTAAGTTCCTTATTTATCTTTTCGATTTCCGGCTCTGATTCACTGTGAATGAGAAAAGAGAAATAAAAATGAGACATGAGAATAAAGTTTTTATGTCATGAAAGGAAAGAAATGACTTTCAGGTAATTAAAAATTAATTTAATTAATGACATAAGATGAGATGAGAGATTTAGCCATGCCAGAAATAAAATAAGAAGTTTTTTTGGTGTCTTTTTCCTGTAAATTCCAACATAACGTGTGTTTCACATCTGCATGTTTTTATTGCACGTAAAAAGAAATAAGCATTGGCAACATGCGCCTTAAATATCCGGCGCTTAGAAATTGAATATTCATAAACTTATTATCCCTTTTTATTGTGACTAAAAATGTGTTTAAAATATGTTGGACATTCTAAGCGCATGGACCAAATGAGTATGGATATTTAGGCATGAATAACGATTGATTAATGCGCATTTACATCATTAAATTTTAGAATGATTGAGTTTAATAAGTTCTGCTTTAAAAAATAACGATCACGAAAAATTTGAGAATTAACGATTAGAAATTATTTGAAACTTAACGGTTATCAAAATTTTGAAAATTCATTGAAAATAGCGGAAAATATTTGAATTTTGAAAATAACGGTTATAAATATAGTAGAGGAAGTGACTGATTCTTAACTAATGGTCTGCCACACACATTTTGACAATAAAATCCATTTATAAGAGCAGTTTAACGACAAAGAAACAAAGCATGAGCATAACAGCCCCAATACGGTCCATAAAATGCCATAAAACAAGAAAAAAAAATTTAAATTATGCAAATTCTGGCATGGCGCTAACACATTTATCTAAACCTAAGCGCCTAATAACTACACATTTATTGCAGAATGTGTGACACTCATTATAGGTCATTTTATGGATTTTCCTCAACATACAGCATGCTTAAAAAGAAAGAAAAGGATTCTCTATAAGAATCTGGTAAACACATTCACTTCCAGAAGTAGAATGCGTGAAAACCCCAAACACAGAAAACCCAAAAAAAGGATGGAGAGCAGAATGCGGATGACATAAATAAAATATAAAAGAATTTCCGTGTTTTTTCCATCCGAAACAAAACAATCTGTTCCAATTGCTACCTGAGAAGAGACTTTTTAGCATAAATATTGGATTTACCACTCTCGCTCTATTTATTGCATGCCTATTTTTATCTAATTTGGTGATCATCTGGTTCCCACATTTTGTTTCCTATTTTTCTTCCTGATTAATTGCATTTATTTATTTTACCATCCCAGCCTCCAATACTTTTGTGGAAAATCCTTTGAAAGAAACTTTTTTAAGTTTTCAATATCAGGCTGTCTATTATTTTGTTGGGGAATTCCCATTGATTCCCATTAATCTATTAATTCATATTAATTGAATTTTTGAAAAATCACTATCACAGCTAATTGGTATTGCTTATCAATGTTTTCTTTTTAATTCGTGATGAGCTTATGAATCAGTTTTTTAATGAAATTTAAACATTGCGGCACGTTTTTGGCTATTGCGCATACTTTAGGGAGACGATAAACTCATAAAGTAGGGGAATTAGTGTTATGTTGTGCAAATTGGATGAAGTTTGATCAATCCAACATCCAAATCGTAATGCAGGGATTGAAAACTAGTTAAACATGTAGAACAAGAGATGTTAAATCAGTTCTTTTGGTTTAATGTTGATCTGTGACTTGAAGTTCTCCTTAACTGATTGATCACTTATTAAGTGCAATATTGAATTATTAACTTTTGAATCTGTGACTTGAATTTTATCTGCCTAGATTTTAATATTGTCCAAACTTTTTGGACTCACTTTATAATATTGACTTTAAATCCTAGAATCAATAAATCCTACAATACACACCTAACCTTGACTATGACACTTTCCCGACCGTATTGACAACTAGACTATAGCTAGACTTGACTTCAACAATAATTTTGGAATCTTTTGATAGACATCCTTGAATATTCATCTTACTAAACATTACAAACCCCCTCCCCCATTTAATGACCCCCCGAACAACATAAGACCCTGTCATGAATTCAAAGCATAACCTCTGTCCACAAAACAAAAAGAATTCAGCATCTTAAAATATTTTAACAGAATTAAAAAAATAATAAATAATAAAATGCGAATCTTTGGATCTGCTAGCCACATGGAGCGGGAATGTGTGCCTGAATTTCCGTAATGAGAATAAAAACATTTGCACCAATATTTTGGTATTTCCCTTTCATTCCTGCATATGTCCTGTGAGAGTAAAAATTTGAGCATGTGTGAGAATGAGAAGGAAATAGGGATATTCCGAAAAAAAGAGAAGATCTCTCAGTATATAAGCTCGTGTAACAATTGCAGAGTATGACATTATTAATCGTGCTTTTGAAGCAGTAAGACATTTGAGGAATAATTTATAGATAAGATAGTGACAGTGGTAAAACCCCAAAAAGTATTAATAAAATTATCATAAATATCGAGCATTCAGCAATAAAAAAATAAACAATGAGTGGAACTGATATGGCTACAATTAATCAACATTACAACAATATCGAGCGTCCATACGCAAATGTGGACTTGTCGAAGCTACCATCATGGGATTTAGTGATGAACATAATGGAACAACAAGCACTTGAGGCTAGGAAGCAAATTATGGCAAGATATCATGAGAATCAAGTGATGATGCCAATGACAGTCAATAATGTCGAATATCATTCAGCACCATACAATTATAGTCACACGAACAATATGAGAAACGTGCAAGAAAGTGACAATAGCAGTTACTGCAGTGAAGAAATGGACTCATCACCAGCACAATCGTCAGACTCTGATATCTCACAAAGCGAAAGTGATATTGAAATTGATGTAGACAGTATTGAGGAAGAGAGCGACGACTATTTTGTACCATCACTCGATAATATCCCAATTACAGTTTTACAATTGGAAACAAAACTTCGAGAGCGAGATCTCCACAAATCATCATGAGAAACAATAAATTACTAAATAAACTCTCGATTAGGTACAAAATATAGTCCATAAGTTGTAGATAGAATTTTCAAATTTTAATTTATAAGCTCAAATAAAAAATAATAAATTATTTATAAAAAAAATTACATACCTATCACTTGAGTCTGAAATATAATCACGTTCCAGCCCTTCCTCGTCTCCATCGTCTGAATCCTGAAATAAACAAAAACAAAAAAATTGAGATTAATGAAAAGTTTGCGTCATTTTCTGTCGAATTGAGTGATTTTTTGGAACTGAAGAAATTCGTAAAAATTTGCGTCATTCAAAAATTTGATGATAAGACATTTTAACGCTTGACCGATGCACAGCTGCTTGATATTTTCGCAGAATTTTAAAAATTAGGCATTAAACTTATTTTCGTTGAGGAATTTGGGAATTTTTGATGACAATGAAATTTGTCATTGCCAGTAATGTTATCAAGATCTTGATTGGGTTATAAAGAGCACGCTGCTACAAAGTGGGCTAGATTTATGTCATATTTTATGTAGTGGATTTATAGGTAGAAAAGGTCGTTCATAAATGACATCAATTAAAAAAATCTTGAACCCCAACTTATAAGTCTGAGCCCAGCATACGAGTAAATGGATGATTTATGAAATCTATTCCCTGAGAGACATGGGTAGTTGATTTACATGTTTAAAGCTGTTTAATTAGCGCATTTTCTTTTTTATATGCCCGCAACATTCAAATCGCAATAATGTTTAAATGTCATTCTTATTTGTGGTTTTTGGGGTTTTTGTAATAATTAATCAAAAGCTTAAATAATCTAGTCATGCTACTTTTAATCTCTAAACATGATAATGTAGATCAATGTAAGGTCAATAATTGGGATTCAAAAGTCAGAACTTTATTTAAGAACACATCATTATTAAGCCGATTCCTCAACAGCAAATTATGAGAAGTCAATGAACCAAAATAAATTAAACTTACTTCAAATGCCTCATCATTGACTTTCTTTTTCTTTTTTGGCTGAGCTTTGCCTTTCTTTTTCTTGGTCTTAGCTTCATCGTCACTTCCTTCTTCCTTTTTCTTCTTTCCAGCATCTCCTTCTTCATCAGAAGCCGAACTCATATCATCTGAATCCATCCATTCATCCATTTCACTAATCATAAGTTTCTTTTTATCCCCACCCTTTGAACCCTTCACAGCCTTATCCTCTGGATCTTCAACTTCCTCTTCGTCCTTATTTTTAAGTTTCATACGCATTTTCATTGACCATAAATTGACACATTTCTTACGACGACCAAATTCCTCTTCAGCCTCTTCGGCTGTTAATGCCTTATAACGTTGAATTGGCTGGAAATTATACCATTCATTTAATGGAAATGCCTCAATTGAGCCGTCTTTTGTCTGTGTGAATATAAAATGAGCTGCATTCTCACTGACACCACCTTCTCGGATCTAAAATAGATAGCACATAATTAATATCATAATTTTATAAATATTTCACAATATTACTTACACCACGAAATTTCTTGCCTGACTTCCCACTGTTAACTTTCAGGATCCAAGGTTGAGCATCAGGATTATACTTTTTCGCAATAATCCCAAACTTCTTTCGTCTAGCTTCCTCTTTCTGATCTCTATTATATTCAGAACCGGCACCAAATTTCGGTGCGTCCTCCTCAAGTCCACTTTTGAACTCTCTCATATTATTTTCTCGTTCCATTTTAACATTTCTCCATTGAGAAAAATCAACATTTAAATTGTAATTAAATCTCATAACATGATGCTTATGTTTCATGTTCTTGGGACATCTAATTGAGTATTCAGTCACTGATGGCTGGACACCAGAACTAAGAGATGTATTCTGAAATTAGATCAAATTAATGAAAATAATGAAATTTTGAATAAATTATTGACTTTCTTACGCTCTGTGCTGGTTTACTCATTTTTAAATGACTTGACATCATCTTGATTGTTTAATATCCCTTCTAAAACACTTAAAAATCGCTTAAATTAATTAAATTTTTGATCAAAACTAATTTTTGCCACTATTTCTGTTTATGTCTCCAAAAAGTCTCCGAATCAGAGTTGGTAATCTGGATATGGAATATACAGTATGATTAATATAAGGTTTTACGAGATTAATCTTGTAACAAAAGGTTGTTGTTTAATCAGCTGATGGATGGAATCTAATGTTATAAGTAAAACAATAGTGTCATTTAAATTTGTTGTGGATACAACTCTGGCGAGAAACTTTGGAGATTTTTTTTGAAAAGTCGTATACATTTTTGAATCTGAAATGACAGTTGAAAGAAATCGTATAAAATTGTTTACTGAGTAGCTAGCTGTTTGTTGTTTTATCACTCACTTGTTCCATTTTAATCACGTTTTTTTCTATCACATGTTTAATTTATTGTTAATACAGCTTTGAATCCACCTTGTTTGTGATTTAAGTTCGAGCTAGTTTGAGTTCTTATGATGAGGCATATTCTGTGTACTTCTGGCCACAAACTGCTCAAAACTAATCATGACGACAAAAGCATTTTAGTTTTTAAATCACCAGAACATCAAGTGGCACTAATTTAACAGTCTTAACACTCAAAAGTAATCGAATCGTTGACAAGATTTATTGATGGACATTACAGTCATGCCATTCAAAATGGAAGTGTTTTTAAAAAATAATTCTGGACCAAATGATATCGAAAATTAATAATGTTTTGCCATTCTCAATTAATCAATTAAATTTTAATTGCCATCAAGTATTAAAATATCGATTAGCTGAAATATATAAAATACCTACAACAAATTTGCTTGCAGCCAAAAATAACTTTTATTGTTTCAGCTCACATTACCTGTTGATTCAATAATAATTTAATTTTCTCGCTCAATCACCTGCTTCACACAGAATTCATAATCATATCAAAGAGGGAGTTGTTGGGATATCATGACTAATTTTTTTGATAGATTCGTTTGTAAAAAGTGCGAGTAAGTCGCCAATTTCTTGTGAAACTAGGTAGAATGATGAAGAATCTGATGATCCCATCTGTTCCTTTAATGCTGAAGATATTTTTTTATGTAATTATTTAAGAGAAACCACTCAGAGAGCGTTCTTTCCCTCCCACTCTATTAATAAATTAATAGAATGTGAACGATCATCAATAGCAATGAGTACCGAAAATACTTCCAGTTCTCATGCCGGCTTCACGCTCAGGAAAAAACGCCACAACTCCTCATCATGGCTTGTTAATGTTTCATTTAGAAACAATAAGGTATGAAGACAGACTACAGAAATGATCCTCTGAAGCACAGTCTTAAAGTTCCATATCTTTTTAATCATACCTTATATTAGTCATTTCTGCACGCCCTTGTGAAGTATGTAATTCAGAACAAAACTCAATTTTTATTTTTTTTCTTTTTATTTTTAGATTTTAATCATCTTATATTTTATTTTGACTTGTTTTTATCATCATCATTAATTTATCATATATAATTGTCCTTAATGTATATAATATAATAATATCTCGGAAGCGTTTAGGTCCAAAAAATGTTCGATTTTGTTTCATTTTTTTTAAAAAGATAATGCAAATTTCATTGATTACGTTCTTTTTTTGTTCAGCTAAACGCTTTTGCGAGACGAGATGAATTGAAATAAAAATATCAATCACTTTTTTTTATATCATTATTCAAATTAGCGCTTTCATCATTTTACGACCAACAAATTTATTTTTTTTCATCAAATATTACTTTTAGTTTATCATCTGTTTCGATCATTCATTATTGCCCTTCAATTTCATGTCAAATCAATATCGTAAAATTTTCTTTAATGTGAATATTTTAATTTTATTTTCCTTTTTTTGTCTTTTTTGAGTATTCTTAATTTTTTATTTAAATTTGTCTCGGAATTGAATTGAAACAAAATGGAAAATGATTCTTTTTTTTGGACATTAAAATGATAATTAATGGATTTTTTATATGAGAATGGTCAATTTCTTGTCATTTGTTAAATACATAATATGCTGATCAGGGGTGTAATAAGAGGGGGCAATGGGGATTAACCCCAACCTTCTTTATAGAAACTTCTTGAATTTCAAGTGGTTATTTGAATATTACATAGCCTTCTTTGAGGGGAGTTTTTGGGAATACACTTTGAAAAAGCGATTCTTAGCATTTGACAATATAAGAATACTTATAAGGTTTAGTTTAACAAAAGGTTCCCAAAATGAAATTTGTTTAAAGTTGCTTCAACATCTCGAATTGATTGTTCAGCTTTTCAACGGTTCTCGAGCACCTTATCGGTATATACCTGCTCCAAAATCTACCTTTTACAATCCTACAATATACCCTAGTAACCAAAATCGTCCATATGTATTACATTGAACTTTCTTGGAACCTTCCTTAAGAACATCAATGTAATACATTTGGACGATAATGGTTACTACGTGAGGATACCTAAAGAACACATTCCTTAGGTTTATTAAAGAGTAGATTAAGACTAGGTTTGGGTGTTGTAGCAAACTCAAGAAATTATCGAGAATCCGACTCTAGACCCCCTCTCACCAGCTCAAAAACATTCCATAAAGAAGTCAAACCCCACCTTAGTACATCCCTGCTCTAGTCTGTTAAATTAGTAAGTGGATGAATAAATTTTATTGATGATAATTATAAATTGATTAACGAGGAGGTACACTCATGTTTTTTTTAGATAAAATTGCTTGTGGATTCTTCTTTTTTTGTATAATGACTTATAATCTTATATATCTAATTATGCCTTTTGACATTACTTATCATTACCTAATATTCGTCTTCACTTTTGTTCATTTTTTTATTATTTATTTAAATATATATTTTTATATGTGTATATATGTAAAAGTATATCTTCTTATTCATTCATGTAGATTTTCATTATTATTAAATTTTTTTATATATATAAATGTATTCATTTATTCTTTCCTTCTTCTTGTTATTTCTTTTTTTTTTGTGGAAATATCGTCAGGGTATGTTTTTTTCATCTTGCTCATTTTATTTGACTATATGACCTAAATTTATGTATGAATTGTAATTTTTTTAAATAAGAATTTTTTTCATTCGTTTTGTAATCCTGCTAAATACTTTAACATTGCTTCTGCAGTTTTTTGCTTGCTATGCAATTATTGCTCTATATTGGATGAGAATTTCAATGTCCAAGTTTATTTCTGTTTAATGCTAATTCACTTGTGACGTCCGAAATTTACGGTCATTTGTCATTTTTCATAAAATAACAATAGAATTCCAGGAATTTTTATTGTTCTTTTCTTGCTGACCCCCCCCTGGACGTCATAAGTGAACGGACCATTATTATGTGTGACTTTTCTGTTCTTATTTCAAGCTTAGATGGGATGTGTAAAGTTGAATTTAAACTGTCTGTTGCGATGCTCATTTGACTAAACTGTCACTATCAATGATAGACGCACAAGTTTCCTTAACATTAATTTTGATGAAAATATTGCACAGGAATGTCTTTGCGTTAAATTGCTTTGATTTTTTGAGTACAAAATCCTTTTAATTCCCAAAAATAATCTTTAAAGTATGCAGAATAACTTCATTGCCGACATTTTTTTCATTTGTCATTTTTTCTACTGAGTTTTGAACCCTAATATTGCTGTATCTTTTGAGAACTTTCAACAATCAAAACTTTACAAAAGGAATTTTTAAAAAGGATCTACAAAAAAGCCTATAATTGTTCAGATTCTAAAGAATCCAATGCTGCGTAAGATCGATAAACAACTGAATAAAGTTTAACAAATGTCTACAAGTTGTTCTAAAAACAATTGGAATTAAGCAGGGTTTAAATAGTGACTTGCAACATAATTCACTATTTTTTCTATATAAGGCCTTTTGGTGTAAGGCTTTTGATATCATTTTTGCTGACAAACAAAGTCATTTATTCTCTAACACACTATGAGCATCCTCACTTTTAAGATAATCCCTTATATCGTTAAGAGATCAAGCTCATATGAGTTCACTCATTAATATTTGTTCTTTGTATGTTATGACTTTGTTTGCCAAACCCTAGATAAGGCATAATATTGTATTATGTGCCAAGGAATTTTATAAAGATTTTGTGCGGATGACTTTAATTCAAGCATGATTAAGGAGATTATTGATTCTATGCCTACATAACAAGAACTGAATTTTTGGTTCAAATTGAAGTTTTCTTGCTAATTGATAGCAATGTACTGGATGTATTGCAAACATAATCGATGTTAAGATCAATCCAACCTTAGTATTGTTAAATATTAAAACTTTAAACGTTTGTAATTCGCAATGCACAGCACTAGGAAAGAAAGTTTATAGCCTAAACTTGTTGATGTTCATCAAAATTGGGTGTTTAATCAATGATGGATCTGCAAACTTCCTAAATTGTTTGTTTGTGACACTTAAATGATATTCAATAGTCACAAAAGCTTTCTTGTTATTTCTCATTTGACGAGTTTGATTACGATAGCAATAAAAGAGCACAGCAACAAATTTTCGATGTCTTTGAACATCTACTTGAGCATTGAGTAATGAAGAATCTGTTTTTGTGTTAAAATTGAGGAACTCATATTCTCAACCCTGGAATTGTATCGCACAACTTTTCAACGATTTCTCATCAAAATTTATCGCAATTTCCTGCCAAAACTTATTCTTACATGTTGCTCCCCTCCTTATCCACCCGCTTCCCTTGACAGTCAAATGAATTTAATTAGATTACCGACAAAAGATCTCGAGAGTAAAATGAGACAATGAATACCTGGCATTATCACAAAATTAGAACTGTGTCAAATAGAATCGGACATACCTGTTGCTCAACATGAGAAATCCTCATCCACAAATGAGAAAAATACGCATTCAAACAGATAAAGTCGGAAATTGAATTTCCCATCCAATAAAGTCAAACAAGAAAATTAAATTTATTACTTTTTGCCTTCCTTAATTTTTTTTTTGATTTTCGATTTCATTTCTTTTTGAAAAAAAAAGTTTATTTAATTGCCATAATGATTAAATTTAATAAGTAGAGATGATTATTATTTAATAATAGTTAAGTCACAATAAAATAATTGCCATGA